TTTGCTATGCTTTGCCCAGCCCACGCTGAGTTTGCTGGTATCAGCAGAGGCTGCGTGAAGAAAGCTAGATGGGCTCTTGCCTTCTCAAGGTTAGAGAGGGCAAAACCAGCCAGGGTTCCTGCTTCCTCTATAGCATCTGCTATTGATACAGCACGTGTGAGATTTCAGGCTCTGACGCTCCCTACTGAGAAATGGCCTGCTGACAAACACTGCAAAGGGTCTCACATGAATAAATAACACTTGGGTGAGGTATTGGAGGTATTGGTGGAACCACATCCCACACAAGTAGATTGGTATCCAGGAGCAGAGGCACATGCCAGTGGGGAGAAAATTAGAAACATAATTAGATGCATTTTTTTAAAAAAAGTAACAAAAAAACCTTCAGATGAAAGCCTTTCAACCCACTTGGGTCTTATACTCCCAGCTAATCAATCCTACCATCTTCCCATCACAGGATCAAACTATTTCTTCCATTTTATCATCAATATGGAGTATAGGAGAGATACAGCCGAGCAGAGGTAGCCATAACAAAAGATCTATATTCAACCACATCAGGGGGTATAAAAGCAAATCAGTTGCTTATGCTGTCATATGCACACGTGGTCTTGCTCTCTCTCTCTCTCTCAGTGCTTGAAACGTAACTGTGATCATAATATATTAATAATCCTTGCATTTGATACAGCGCCTTATCACATTTTCGATACATCTCAAAGTACTTATGTGCACAAGAGCCAACATTTAAGGTGAGTGAACATGATCCACTCGATGTTTTATATATTTACAGAGAGCCCAATATCTTCACTAATTGGGACCAGCTTCATTGTGAATATGAAAATAGTGTGGTTGAGGGATGAGGTCATCACGTAGAAAACAATGTATAGAACTAACTAAAACTTTGTTTTATCAAGAGTTGTACTATAATAATAATCCTTGCATTTGATATAGTGCTTTTCACATCTTCTAGACGTCTCAAATCGCTTCACAGAATATACCATAAAGTGAATTGACTGTATATTTGTGGGCGAAACGTGGCAACCAGTTGCGCACAGCAGTGTCCCACAAACAGTCGTGGATTGAAGTGACCAATTTATTATTATTTTTTTTGAGGGATTATTATCAGGCGTGTGGAGTAAGGAAACTTGCCAAAGTTTTGCCCTGCTGGGAATCAAACCCAGGTCTTTCACTTGCAAGGCGTGTCCTCTAACCTCTGAGCTACTGGACTCCACCATAACACTGGCACCATAAGTTTTTCCACTCTTGTGTTTTTTTCTCTTCTCTTTGGCCTTCCACTCCGTGCTGGCCCTTTTCTCTTCTTCCTCCCCCCCCCCAACTAAGTCACTTTCTCTCTCTGACTCTCACTCTGTCACATTCTGCCTTTTTCTCTCTTTCTTGTTTTCCCCACAAATCATAGTCAATTCACTTTACATTATATCCTGTGAAGCACTTTGAGACATCTCGAAGACGTGATAAGGCGCTATATCAAATACAAGGATTATTATTATTTCTGACTTTCACTCTGTCTGTCTGACTCGATCACACAAGCTCTCTAACCGTTCCTGTGTGTTTGTGTATTTGTCTCTTTATCACGATGTGGCCTTCTTTATCAGTGAAGGCATCAGTGAAGGCCAACCTTCACAACAGATAAGTTGGTAGAAACAACAACAACAAAATTGCATTTATAGAGCACCTTTCACGTCGGGAGGACGTCCCAAAGCGCTGAACAGTCAGATGTCGGGGTCCGAGCATGGGGGAGGGGTGGTGTAGGGGTGAGGGAAGGCAGAGAAGTGAGGAGACCAAAGGTACGGTCGAAGACAAGGGTCTTGAGACCGGCCTTGAAGGAGGCAAGGGAGGAAGTGAGGCGAAGGGACCGTGGGATGGAGTTCCAGAGTGTGGGGGCAGAAAGGCTGAAAGCCCGGCCACCGATGGTAGGGCGGATCGGGCGGGAGACATGGAATAGGCCGGAGTCTGATGAACGGAGGGAGCGGGCAGGTTGGTAGGGCGTCATCAGGTCAGAGAGGTAGGAGGGGGCAAGGCCATGGATGGCCTTAAAAGTGAGGACGAGGATCTTGAACTCGATCCTCTGGGGAATGGGGAGCCAGTGGAGTCGGGCGAGGGTGGGAGTGATGGGGTCACGGAGCCTGGTGCGTGAGAGTACATGAGCTGCAGAGTTTTGGATGATCTGCAGCTTGTGAAGGGAAGAGTTGGGAAAGCCGATGAGGAGGGAGTTCCCGTAATCAAGCCTTGAGGTGAAGAATGTGTGGGTGAGGGTTTCGGCAGCCTGAGGGGTGAAGCAGTGGCGGCGTCTGGCAATGTTGTGGAGTTGGTGGTAGGCAGTGCTGGTCATGGCGCGGATGTGGGGGAGAAAGGACAGTTCAGGGTCAAACAAGATACCCAGATTCCTGACGGGCTTAGTGAGGCTGAGTGTGCAGCAGTGGAGGCTGATACTGCCAGTGTCTGAGGTGTGGAGGCGCTGGCGGGAGCCAATCAGGAGGGCCTTGGTCTTGCTGATGTTGAGTTGGAGAAAGTTGGCCCTCGTCCAGGACTTGATGTCGGACAGGCAGTCGGTCAGGACGCCAATAGTCCTGGAGTTCAGGGTGGAGGCTGAGAGATAGAGTTGGGTGTCATCCACATACATGTGGAAATTTACTCCATGTCTGCGGATGACGTCACCAAGGGGGAGCATGTAGAGGGTGAAGAGGAGGGGACCGAGGACAGAGCCGAGGAACACTGCACGAGACAGTGCGGGAGCTAGAGAAGCAGTTTGCCGCGACGAAGTGGAGGCGGTTTGAAAGGTAGGACCTGAACCAGTCAAGAACAGAACCTTGAAGGTTGAGATGGGAGAAGAGGCGGTGGAGGAGGATTGAGTGGTCCACGGTGTCAAAGGCGGTGGAGAGGTCGAAGAGGCAGAGGGAGCCCTAATCACACATGGTCAGGATGTCATTTGTGACCTTGACCAGGAGTTTCCGTGATGTGGGCAGCACGGAAACCCGATTGCAGAGTCCATTGTGGGTTTCAAAAGGGAAGCAGACAGATATATGAAAGGTAGAGGCTTGAAGGATTTGTACGACTCTCTAAATAAATGTCTTGCTCTGCCGCTTTTGTATATCTGAAAGTATTGTTTTGTGTTCACTTTTTCAATACCATCCAGCAACTTTATACCAATACCAGCTTCCTTCTGTGGCATCTCTTTCCAAGGCAGAATTCTAGCTTTTCCTATCGTTTATTATAGGTTATCCCTCTCATATTAGTCATTTAAAAAATGTGGGCCTTTATCTTGCCCAATCCTATAACCAATCAATCAGATTCAATCTTGCCCTGTTATTAAGTATAAGATGGTTTTGATATAAATCGTGCGTCTTAGCTTGTTCTATATTAAATCTATTTGAATGCAAATGTAGTGGAAAGCGATTATAACTTTTTTTTAAGGGAGGATTAGAATATTTTTACAAGTTTACAAAATACTTCAGGTTGAGAGTAAAATGATGATCATTCTTCAGAGTGTAGACTGCTGAGGACCCCTAGTGGATCTACGAGAAATACTCACCAAGTTGATAAAGAACACATCACTCTTTTGCACTAAAATGAACTAGATGTAATGACAAGATCAGTCTCAGTCAGGCAAAATTTAAGGTCCTGCCTGCCTGTTCAGCTGGATGTAAAAGATAACCTTGGAACAATTGGAAAGAAGTGAATTTTACCTGGTGTCCATGTCAACAATTCTCCAGATAAAATCGGTTATTTACTTTGTGGGACATCGCTTTGCACAAATTGGCTGCAGTGTTTGTCTCCAAATCCAGTCATTATATTTCATAGTTCATCCTTTGAGATTTTTAAAGTGCTATTACTGTTATGATATATTGGGCTTTAAAAAGTGAGACAATCTCAGGTCAAAGCCCAAATTATGCAAGTCAAAGTGACGTAATAATAGTTATAATCCTTGCATTTGATATAGGGCTTTTCACATCTTCCAAAACACTCAAAGCACTTCACAGAATATACTGTAAAGTGAATTGACTGTATATTTGTGGGCGAAACGTGACAGCCAATTGTTTCCTGTTGCAAATAAAAAGTTACAAAAGGACATGGAGCCATTTTTAAAAAAAAGTATAAAACTTATTTTTTAATTTTATACAAATACACCTTCTTTATAAGAATGCCATCACTTGAGTGTCATAAAAAATGATTGGAATCCCATTACCAGGCACGTAATAATAATAACCCTTGCATTTGATCTAGCGCTTTTCACGTCTTCTAGATGTCTCAAGAGTTTCACAGGATATACTGTAAAGCGAATTGACTGTATATTTATGGGCAAAACGCACTGTTATCTGGTCAAAAGTGTCACTTTTATCTTTTAATCATAGATAGTAAAGCTTATCATTTTATTATGCCTTCTTTTGGTACACACTGAATTGTAATTAGTTTGTTCTCAGAATATTAACCAAGTTTATTGTTCCCTAGGTATGTGCTGGTGAAAAAGTTAGTTTAACCCAGACTAACTTTGAAAGCTGCGGACAGATTTCAAATTCCATTATTTTTGTTTAAAAAAGCAAGGTGGCAGCTAGACTTTATAACACGAGATGTCACTATGTCCATGTAACAAATGTATAACATTGCACATTTGAATTACTGACTCACAAACCCATCATCTTAATAATTACATGGTTATCAAAATAATAACAATCCTTGCATTTGATATAGCGCTTTTCACATCTTCTAGACGTCTCAAAGTGCTTCACAGAATATACCATAAAGTGAATTGACTATATTTGTGACCAAAAAGCGGCAGCCAATTCCGCACAGCAGTGTCCCACAAACAGTCATGGATTGAGTGACCAAATTATTATTATTTTTTTTCTTGAGGGATTATTATCCCCGGAAAAGCGATCCACCATTCAACTAACAATCGGGTTTCTACTTAATGCTGGTAAACAGAGGCGTGTGGAGTAAGGAAACTTGCCCAAGGTTTCACCCTGCCGGGAATAGAACCCAGGTCTCTCTCTTGTGAGGCGAGTGCTCTAACCACTGAGCTACAGGACTCCACAATGTTGGGTCACCTTCAATATTCAGTAAAGCTCAATTATTAGATTCCAAATGACACCATTCTTCTCCCAACAATGTGGTAGTTGCTTATCATGTTGCCTCTCCACTACTGGCTCTCCTTTCTGGGTTTATTTCTATTGATCAGTTTCTTCAAATGTTTAGCAACCTCACTGGGATTTCTGTAGATCATTCGTCTGTCCATCCCTTTAATTTTGATCCATTTCGCTGAGGGATACGTCTGCTCAATGAATTGCTGCTGAAACTGTGCCACAACCTGGAATATTTTTTTAAAAAAAAGATCAACATTAATGCCAGTAGGAATCCTAAACAAATAGGAATTTAAAGCCAGCCCCTCAGAAAAACAGTCTCATATTAGGCCCAAAGCACATCAAAAAGATAGACCTTCTGATAGTTTTTTAACAGCAGGGAGGGAGGAAGCAAGGCAGGGTGATGTATTTCTAGGGTGTAATATAATAATCCTTGCATTTGATATAGCGCCTTATCACGTCTTCAAGCCATTTCAAAGCGCTTCACAGAACATACTGTAAAGTGAATTGCCTGTATATTTTTGTGGGCGAAAGGTCAGAATGGCTAAAAGCTCTCCCACTGATGGTTGGGTAGATTGGACAGAGAACATGAAGCAGGCCATTGTTTGTTTGCTTAGCAGACGGAGTGGCCGGGATGGTTGGGTTGCAGCACGTCGCAGAGCTAGGACAGTACTTGCCTTATTCAAAGAGACAGGAAGCTGCTCATCGTGATGATCTCCTGTGATCACAGTTACAGTCGTCCTACTGGATAGTGGTTTAAACTTTGAAATATCTCTGTATCGAAAGAAAAAGAGCATTTCAGTCATGTAAAACACAAGCTTCCTCTTAAAAGGTTCATACAGAGTCACCCTGATATTTACTTCAGCTAAATCCTTACAAGGCAGCAATTACGCAAAAGGACTCACAATTCTTGAGTCGACTGCGGTGAATCTTGTTAGCGGTAGCATGTCCCCGCCAACCCAATGGGAACCTAGTGATCTGCTTCGGAATAATGATCCCAGGAGTTGGCTACAATGTACCGATGATTACCTTTAGTAACTCAAAGTCACTATTAGTCAATCCCATTGTAAACCGGAGAACAGGGAAAGTCCTCTAATGCACCGCCCTATTGTACAATGCAGACTTCACACCTGAAAGGTATACCAGACATTCTGATAGTTTACAGACTGGGCCTTTGCACATCCCCACCCCCCCAACCCGCCCATCTCCAATTTACTTTGAGAATCATAATCAGCAGGACAAAAGGGCACATGCTCCTTCCTGGCTATGTTTCTTTATGCAGAGAGAAATAAGCAGCTGGAACAGGTTAGCAGCAAGGTTGATAGGCCACAACTGGACTCAGTTAAGAAACAGCGTGGTGGTATAGTAGGAGGGCAGAACGATTGATCTTCTCGACAGGTGAGATTATATGGGCTGAAAAACCTTCCTTACCCAAACCGCTCATGATGTCAAAAGAGGCACAATCAGAAGACTGATTTATGACACACACACACTCCTCGTCCTTGTATATACATGAACAGAGTCACAGAACGAGGTTGAAGTACACACATTCATTATAATTTCCCTGCTTTGCATTATTTTTCTCCCTACAAAATACACAGTCAATATATGGTAAATTCTGTGAAGCGCTTTATGAAGTCCTCCCGAAATGAAAGCTGCTATTATCATGTGCATAGATTATGACTACTTCTAAGTTGAGCCTACAGTAAAGATCTTCTTTAAAAATACAACCCTAGAGTCTTTTACTTTACTAAAAACTTGATTTACAAAAAATAGTGGCTTTAAACCTTTTTAATGTAAAATACAAATAAAGAAAAATTAGCCAAGACCCAGAAGAAAAATGAAACGTAGGAAATTATATTGGTGATGTTACATGTAATATAGATAGTCTAAGAAAGCAGCCAGAGTTTCCAGCAAATAGTGATGCAATTACTGCCCATGTACTGAAAATTGATTTTATTGAACATTATATGGCGATAATTATCAAGTCTTTAACAGTTGGCTAATTTGTGCATGGAGCTCAATTCGTCTTCCTATACATTGGGTTAGTAATTAATCCTGTTAACTCTACTTTTAGTGCTGCATTAACAGTTGCTATAATCGTAAATACTACACTAAAATTCAAGGGCAGGCTTTCCCTGCCCACTATTTGATGTATCTAAAACTCTGAATCAATATGGTCTAGAAACAATCATTCATTGTGACATGATGTTTTGGACAGCACAGAACTTCATTGATTTCTGACTTTGAGTAAATGCAGAGTATTTCTGTTATAACGCACTTCACTACAGTGCAAATTCAGTTACAACGCAGCTGCACTGCTGACCCCATTCAATGTAGTTTTGCACAGTAGGCTTGCTCACATCCACGTCTAATGGCTATTTGTGCCAAAGTGGCCGATTGCCTGGTTAAGTCACCACCGAGATCACTTCCTGCTTTGCAGAGTCCCAGTAAACAGGAAATGACGTTGGCAGTGGCCACCGATGACCCAAAAGTGGGCCACTTTTTCTGTGGTGCACGTGCACAGTGAAATCAGCTATTGTGCTTCACTCCTGAAATGTTATGATTCCCAAACACTACATTATAACAAGGTTCCACTGTATATTGTCATGAACAATGCCAATGGTGCCAGCGCTGTCAATTTTGGAGGGAACTCGATTTTTTTAAAATGAATAGTGCTATTCACTAATCTGTTATCCACTGCTCAACCAGTACATGCTGGACTTCCACCCTAAGGAATCCTGGAAAATTCCATACCATGAAGTGGTGTGATGTTGGTCTCTATCCATCATTCCCCATATTGTGAACTCCTGATTTAATCTTGCCACTGTGGCCAGTTGTCAAGCAACAACTAGCACAGAAGAATATCTCAAATAATTTTACAAAGCCTAACTACAGTGGGAGATGCGGTGGGGGGGTAGGGAGAAGATGGGGACAGGCAAATGGTTAACAAAGGTGCAGTTAAAGGGAGGTTTTCAACAGGTTTTGAGTGCAGCGAGGGAGGGATGAAGGTAGACAAATTTTGACCCCCAAAATGTGGGGGAAAAGTGGGTGAAAAAAGTGAGTAAACGGGGGTGTAGGATCCCAATAATTCAACAACAAATTGCATTTATATAGCGCTCTTCACGCAGCATAGTCTTGGAGTGCCGTAAAGTAATGGGATTGGACGCCAAGCAAGGGGGAGGAAACCATAGGCAGGGTTGAAGAGAGATGTAAAGATAGTTAAAGAGGGAGAGAGGCAGGGAGTTCCAGAGGGTAAGGGTGTAATGGCTGAAAGCACAGTTACCAATGGTGGCGTGGAGGGGTTGAGGGACATGCTATCAGCCTGGCTCAGTTAATAGCACATTAGCCTGAGTCATATGTTTGGGGGCTCAAGCCCCATGTCAGGTCATCATCTGGGCTGGTGCACCAATACAGTGCTGGAGGAACACTACATTGTTGGAGGCGCCATACTTCGAATGAGATATTAAAGATCCCATGGTGCTATTCGAAAAGAGAAGGGAGTTTAGATCCCCTAAATGAAACTTAAGGGAATGTTGGCCAGGACCCTGGAAGCCAGCTGGTCGTTTGCCTGCATTTTTGATTTTTTCAGTAAGTAAAAGTCCCCATACCCCACCTGCATTATAAGCAATCCCATGTCAAAAAGAAATTAATTATAACAGGATTTCACTGAATTCTTCTCATCAACACTTACCGGACTTGGGAGACGCTCTCATTAATGAAGAAGTGTTCATCCACAGCGGCACTGAGATGGGCTGGATTACTCAACAGGTATTTCTATAAAATAGTGCAGCAATCTTAGCAGAGCATTAATTTATTGTAAATAATGTAACTGTTCAATGCACCTTTGAATTATGAAAACGATAGGTAAATGTGGGGAGGCAAGAGGACGGGGCTTGGTAGCTTGAAGGATACATATTTTGGATGGATGGCCAATAGAAGAAACACAGTACCCCCAAAGTGCATAAGTGTGACATGGGCAGGCCAATGTAAGTCTTCCACAGACCATGCAATGCCACGCTGAATTTTACCCCACCCACCTTACTCAGTTCTGTTATTAGAAGGAGAATCAACATAGAATCAGCTCTGTGGCTACAAATGGCCTTCTCTGTTTGTACATTAGGAAACTGAGACTAAGGCATTTGTCAATATGTTCCAGCATGTGATTTCTCACAGTAGGTGAAAGACAATTACACAGACATGATCTGCCCCACAACCCTCACCCATAAGAATTGCCAGAGAACTTTGTTCCCAAAACAGCACACGAGAACTGAGGCAAACAAAACTACCGTGTTATTCTACCTAAAATAAATCATTAAATTCAAATATAATCAGGTTTAATGATAATTGTGTGTTTCTTGTGCGCTTTGTGTCCAGCGCACATATTCTGTAAAGGCTGTGATAAAGGCAACTGGGCACCGAAAACTAATTTGCATTACTCTGCATTTATGCACACCCAAGACAGAGACTGAAGAGAATTCAGTGGAAAGTTAATAAACAATTTACATTTTATAATCTATAATACTGTCAGAGTAGCTACACCTTTAATCAAGCTGGCTTTATGTCTTTTAATAGTCCTTTATGTCCTTTAACTCAATAGTCCAGAAACATTCACTCTCTAGCTTCACATATTAAGAATTGTGGGACATCCTCCCGTGTGAAAGGCGCTATACAAATGTAATCTTGTTGTTGTGTCACTAAGGTGAGATACCCGAGGAACCACATATTAACACTTGCTCATGTTCAGGGTAAGGTAAGTGGACAAACAACATAGTAAAGATTGAAAGGAGAAAGACTGATAGCTCAGTCCTCTAACCCTGAGGATTGTGTGTCAGTCTGGCTCAGTTAATAGCACTCTCGCCTCTGAGTCAGAAAGTCTGATAGTCTTGGCGGACATTCTCATGCAATGTCAGGGGTGGAGTCTTTTGGATGAGACGTTAAACCGCAGTCGCATCTGCCAGTTTAGGTGGACATTAAAGAGCCTATGGCATTCCAGTTTCTCCCAGTATCCTGGCCAACAATCCCCCAGGTAAACCTAGTAATTCACTTGGAGGAGGGGAGGAGAGGCCATTAACATGTACAAATTGGTTCCCACTTTTGCCTACAAAATACAGACAGTACACTTTACAGAAAATCCTATGAAATGTTTTTAAGTCATCCTTCCAATGTGAAAGGTGTAATATATTAAATCAAAGATTAAATTAATTAAATTAATTAAATTATTATATTTTATTAGCATGATCATATTAATTCTAGATTTATTTTGAATGGATCGCCAGTTTGGACTGTAGCTTGGTAATCATTCTGAGAGAAAGCTCCTCAATAACTCAATAGTTCATTTTTAAAAATGATTTTCAGCTGGCTTCATTGGATTGCAAAAATATGTGAAAGTACAGTTTGGGTAATCAATAAAAGTAGAATGAGTGCCATATTTCAAACTCTGAACATTGCTCATTATAAAATGCTGACAGAAGCTAGATCCCAGACATAAATTGGATATTTTGCCTTTCTCAAGAATACTATTAAGTCTCTTTTCTGGACAAAATTAATAGAGTATTCGCAATGTGTAAATTTAAGTGAAGGATTGCCAACTCAGTAGAATTCTTCAGAAGTCATGGTCAAGCTATCGAGTGCTCTGGTCAGGCCACACCTGGAGAACTAGTATAGTCTGGTCACAGCAACATAACGGGATGACTAAGGGGATGACTAGAGGCAGTGCAGAGGAGAGCAATGCGCATGGTAATCAGTCATTTTATTTTATATACCATCTTTTATGGTGATAATAAATAATAATAATCATAATCCTTGCATTTGATATTGCGTTATGTCATGTCTTCAAGATATCTCAAAGCGCTTCACAGAATATACTGCAAAGTCAATTTTAAAAAGTGTATATTTTATGGGTGAAATGCAGCAGTGAATTGCACACAGCAGTGACTCACAAACAGTCATGGATTGACTGATTTTTTTTTTAAGGAATTATTTCCACCAGAATAGCAACCTCCCAACTGACTAATAACCGGTTTCCTACTTACTGCTAGTAAACAGCGGAGTGTGGAGTAAGGAAATTTGCCCAGTGTTTCGTCCCGATAGGAGGTCTCAAAATGCTTCACAGGATTTACCATAAAGTGTAGCAACTGGATATCCTGTTAACAAACACGGTAGCCAATTTGCACTCAGCAATGTCCCACCAACAACCATGAAGTAAATGATCAAGATTAGCCTAGACTGAGTGTAAAGCTAAGACAGCAGAGCAAAAGGTTCAGGGTTATAAAGGACAATTTCAGGATAGGTGCCATTATTTTATTACCCAAAAGGGTAATTACAGAGAAGATAATTAAAAATTGATATGGGTTACCAGCAAGAGTAGTTGAGGCCAGGATACATTTACAGTTTGATGCTGAAATGGGAGGATGGGAGGATGACAGGATGGGTTGTCTTGAAGGATGAGATCAAATTGGCCAAAGGGCCTTCTTCATCCAAACTTCTCTTGTGAGCTTATGAGAGACAGCCTTAAAAGCAGTTGGTTGCTTCCCACATTTTATAACACAAGAGGGCGACATTTCACTTTCTACTGTCTTAAAACTGATTTGCAGAAAATTGTTTATATTTTTTACTTTTTTTGAAAGGAATTCAACTTTTCAGAAAGCTGACATCAAAGACAGTTATTCTTAGTGAAGTAATTCATGAGCGACAAGAGTGTAATTTTGTTTTGTTATTTATGCTTTTAAATATAAACAGTCTAACAAAAAGCCATGAATTATTTATGGACAGAGTGCAAATCCTTGGAGATTGACAAGAGTTAATTGCACGATTAAGATTCTTGCTCCAACTACAGCTACTGTTTTGTTATTCCTAACAAACCTGTGATCTTTCGGTGATACATGTTGCCAAATAATCAATAGGGTCTTGGTAGTTTGACGTTTAGTGACTGAAGCAGATTGAACTTCAAATTGGTTTACTTGGTCCGACCATTTGTATTTCAGAGCATTGAAACTTAAATTCAACGTCTATGCTCAAATATTTAAACTTACTAAAAAAAACAAATCTGATTTTTATTTCACGAACAAGTGGTATCGCTTGATGAAGGGCATAAGAATGAGGCCATTCAGCCTCTCCAGTCAGCCCTGTCATGTTGATTCTCCTCTTTAAATACTTGCATAACAATTTTTCGTTTTGTGCAACGTTGATCATCCTGTTTTGCAACACAATCCATATCCACTGACCTCCTTCAATCCTTACGTCTGACTCTAAATGCAAGGTCATACACTCCATTGTGGCCGAAACTAATGCTCTCTTCCTCCATCTTGCTCGCTTCTCATCTCTCCTCCCCATCCCCACTTCTCCAATCCCACCTCCGCCCTCCACATCAACACTTCTTTCTCTCATCTCCCAAATGAAACCCACTAGCTACCCTCTCTTCTCTTTATCAACCCAAATCATGGCCATCCAACTCTCTCTTCTCGACTCCATCCAGTTAATATTAGCAATCTTTCCCTATCCTCTGGAATTTTACACCCTCTTCCTCAAAAATCCACCCTTGACCACTTTATCATATAACTATTGCCCTACTTCTAATCTGCCATTTCCAGAGAAATGGCAGGTTAGAAGTAGGCCAATGTGATAACGTATTGGCACTTCCCAATTATGTTTGCATATTGCCATGCACTCATTATTCAAAACCCTCCGGTCTTTTTGACACGCCCACAGCATCAAGGTAGCCTTGGTCAAAGTCACAAATTACATATTTTCAGTCTGTGGCCAAGCCTCCTTGTACTTACTCAATCTTTCCACTACTTCTGATCGTTCTATTTTCATTATTCTCCAGTCTGACCACTTCTGCGATGCTGTACTTTCTTGGATCCACTACTACCTGTTCCGATATCGTCACAGAATCTCCTGCAAGGTTCTTCTCTTACCCCACATGCTCAGGGATCTGTCTATGATGCTCTCCTAGTTTATAATCATGATGCTTCCCTTTGGTCACATCATCTACAAGTAAGGAGTCTGTTTCCAGTTTCTTGCTGCTTTCAAAACCCTCCTAACTTCCCATGACTGTAGTTTCAATCAATATTCTCAAAACTCCTTTCTTCCCACCATGCTCAGAGATCCACAGCTTTGTAAAGCACTTTGAGACCATACCCTTACGTGAAAGGCTCTTAATATAAGCTGCTGATCAGCAAAGTGACTCTTGCTTAATTGTCAAAATGCCCTGACCCTAATTTAATCAAAAACCGACTCTCTGAGACAGTCCAAAGAACAATTGCGGTAGACCCACACAATGGGCAAATCATAAAAGAAAATAATACTCTGCATTTGATAAAGCACCAATAAATTTGAAACATTTCAAAGCAATGATAAGTGTTGCACTAATTTGTTGACAAACATTGTAGCCAATTTACACACAACAAAGTCCCACAGGCAGCCATGAAGTGACTAACCAATTTAACCTGATGGATTGCCAGTGCAAAGAGAATTTAGCAAGCATTATTTTATTTTGGACACTGAAGTGAATAAGCATTTGGGAGAGTTGTTGAGTAGCCACTGTTTACAAGTAGAATTAAACGATCTGAACATGCAGCTAGAATATTCTTTTAAAAAGCATATGCTTGGGGCTTTCAGCCAATGGACCAGAGAGTATTGGCACCGATTAGTCCAATCCTAAGTAATTCAGACCGGGTTGCAGATTCGATTCCCAATCTGTTCTATATTAGCTCAAGAACAGTTAGCGTGGTACATTTAGCTTTAGTACATCCAAGGTAATGTAGCGAAAAAAAGCCAGGATTTTGGTTCCTAATTGCTAACCAGTGACTCCAGCTGATAAGTGCATTTGATTGGACGTCCGTTGATACTCAATATCCAGGCTCATAAAATATGAATTGGAAATTGGGTACAGTTCTGAAGAGCTTCCAGTGTACCTGGAACTGTGCCCAAGCAAAGAGTCACCACCACCTTCACAAGAGGAAGGAGGGAGAAAATTGATCCCAATAAAGCCTTTTCTCATCTCACCTTCTATCAAATTCAGGATGACCTATTTCTATGCAAGACAAACAAACATAATACAACTGACCTACTGCAAGCTGAGTGCAACACTTCAGTCCAGCTCAAAGCTAATAGCTAGACTAGTCTAGTTTTAATTGACAGAATTATGGATATTGAATTCTAAAATGTAATCACATACAAGGCCATTCATTATGAATCAGCATAATAACCGTTCAAGCCAATTCAAGACTATTAACTGTGATGCAAAGTGTAAGTAATAGAATATGTATTTTCTGGTGTTATTAACTGATAAAGCCTAATTTTCCTAGAACTTGCTTTATCAGAGTTATTTTATTATCTCTAATTCATTTAGGTATCAGAGATATACAATCTGTTAGTCCCAGAGTACACACTCTCCCCCTGAACTTTCAATATGGAAATTTGGACAGTGGAGTCCTCTAGTTAGAACAGTGGTTAGAGTACTTGCCTTGCAAGCGAGACATCTGGATTCAATTCCAGGCAGGGAAAAACCTTGGGCAAGTTTCCTTACTCCACACTCCTCTAATAATAATCCCTCCAAAACAAAAATAGGTGATTTTCAATCCACAACTGTTTGTGGGACACTGCTGTGCGCAATTGGCTGCCGCGTTTCGCCACAAATATACTGTCAATTCACTTTACAGTCTATTCTGTGAAGCGCTTTGAGATGTCGAGAAGACGTGAAAAGCGCAATATCAAATGCAAGGATTATTATTTATTATTATAATTCTACAGTTTCACAAACAGTATCATTCCATTCTAGTCTCCCAGGCAGTTGCACCCAATGTTACTCCTTCTCCAAGACAGCATCAACCCATCCTAAAATCTCCTTGCTGATTTGCACCTCTGGTCTAATTCACAAACTCTGCTTACATCTGCATTTTCAAGTCCATTGTCCCAACTGTCACTGTCAAAATTCTCACATGAATACCACCATATCAAATGCATGTATTAGTCTGATGCTAGTTATTATTTTATTCAATTATTTATACAAGCTTGGAATATTTTTTTTTGGACTAATGTCAAATACCCTAGAATTTCAACCTAGAATTTATTTAGCATTGTGGCTAACAGTTTCACATTAAATTGAAATTTTGAATGAATGCCATAGAGCAGGTCATGAATTGATGCAGATAGTAGCTGGCAGTAGGTTACATACACAGCCTTTCTGGAGGAAAAAAACGGCATTTTTCCCTTTCTATCTGGCAGCTGACAAAAAAATTAGAGCTTTTGTGTTTCAATGAGTCATGGAATTAAATATCCACATTAGCCCCGATTCACTCATGGGTGAAAGAAGCTGGACTGGGTACTGAGGCTGTCCCCATCAATTTAATCTGTTCCCATAAGTAACAGATCTAAAAAGAACAGGCAGACAGGGCCCAGTTTAACATCTCATCTAAAGCATATCTGACAATGTACTGCAATCCCAGTACTGCACTGGGGGGAGCAATCCTTGACTATGAGCACAAGTCACAATGTGGGGGTTAAACTCATAACCTTTTGACCCTTACACATAAGAAATATTAAATGAGTCAGGCTAACCCGCATTAAGATTGTGGAGATGACTGTTAAGCCCTTTTAATAATCCTTGATTATGATATGGCGCCTTTCATGGCAGGAGGATGTCTCAAAGTGCTTCACAGGATTCATTGTAAAGTCTTGTGTAAAGTACAGTGTGTAAACTATTTGTGTAAAATCTTATTATATGTTACCCAATCAATAAAAACAAACTTGGAACGCACAACTTAACAGCCTGAATTTCAGCACAGATTTATTTAATGAATAGTGTTTTTTCTTTGGTCAGACAGTTTGACGCATGCAGAATTGCATCACCATACTTCAGAGTACACAAACTAGACAGAATTCCATATGTGTATGCCATATACACATGGAAATTCCTCTGTGTCTGGAATGGAATGCACACTCTCGTCCTAGAGGAACACAACTGGTTTACCTAATTCAAGAGAGTATTAGGTGCATTCAGAATATTGAATATTTTAAGCACCATTACAGGCAGTGTTCACAGGAGTCTACGCTACATGCTGACTTTCTTTTCCAACATCAATATTGATTTTTTTTTAAATGCTGCACATCTTCTGCATGTTATTTAAATATAGCAAACAAGATTAGACGGGAGTGTTTCCACACTGGGGAGATGCTTTTTTTAAAAAATTATGCTTTTTGAATCTTTAACTTCAACACATTTTTTAGGATTTGCTTAGATTGGAAATATTTTCTATGTGTGACACAATTCCCCAGATCAAAAAAATGAGTTTGTGGATCATTGCTGTACACAAATTGGGTGCCATGGTCACCTACAAATACAGTCACTGCACTTCACATAAAATCTCTGTGAAGTGCTTTGAGATGTTTCAATGTGAAAAGGTGCTGCGTCAAATGCGAGGATTTTTATTATTATTACTATTATTATAACCCATTAGACCTCAGTGTGAATCCAAGATAAAGCTACGAGCAATTACAATTGGCTAGAATTGAATTATTTCAAAGTCAGGGTAAGGAGCATTTCAAAAGTACACCTAAACAATGTTTAAACAAGGAATGTATTTAGGAATAGCACAATTTTAACCTCAAAGGTTTTGAGTGGATAGACAGTGAAAGATTATTTCTGCCACTTGGTAAAGCAGCGACTAGGGGTATTAAACTCAGGGTATTGATTGGAAGAGTTAATGGATTAGAAGAAACTTTTCGTTATTGGAATATGGAATGATGAACAAAAAGTAGCTATCGAGGCTGAGGCTACATCAAATTTAAGCAGAAGATGAATATAAAAAAAGTGCAGAGGCTAAGCAATGAAAAAGTTAGCTTCAGTGATTGAGCCAGCACCAGCGAGATGCGTCAAACTACTTCCACTTCTACTTTCGTTACAAGGATTAAGATTTAACCATTTGAATATGGCTGGTGGCTTATGTTTTATAAAATATCAGGATTTAAATTGAATTTATATGAGTAGTATTACTATGAAGCATCACAAAAAACGAATTAATGGAGCTCCTCGATCACCAGTGGATGAATAAATAATAATCCTTGCATTTGATATAGCGCTTTTCACATCTTCTAGACGTCTCAAAGCGCCTCACAGAATAGACTGTAAAGTGAATTGACCGTATATTGTCTCTTGGACTACCTCGTCTGCTGCAAACAAATAACTTACCTGTCGTTGGGCCAGCTCCACAGAAATATTCTCTCCTGTGACTGGTTGCTGCATCATTCCCGTGATTAAAAACATTCTATTTAAACCAGCAGCAGCAGAGAACTGCAGTGTCTGAAGGTAGGAGACCAGATCTTTGTACCTGAAAGAAAAGAGGAAGTAGAAATGTAGAAAGAGAATAAATAGGCGTCACCAAAGTGAAGGTGGCGAGTCAAGAAATTGTAATTCCACCTTTGACACTCTTGCTCAGTTATGGATGTATTTAATTTGAAGCAATGTTTCCTCCACTGTGTCTGACACAATATATGTATTAGTTTTCTCTCATTAGTTTCTCCCTTTTTCTGAAACTGATGACTCACACTCAGGTACTCTTCCCTTCTAGTTCCTCACTCATCCAATCATTCTTAATGTGTCCCTGAATAATGAGCAATCCCAGGCTCTTCAGGCAAGGAATCGCCACAATGTCATTCCATCAACAATCAGGAGCAGCAATCCTGGCTATTCTTTCGTCCTATATCCCTGGTAAGCTGAGGCCAGCAGTCACAACTCCATTTCCTCCCAGCTGAGATTACCAAGTTCAACAAGTCCAAGGAAACAACTTCTAATCCTTTTGGTCAGTTTGGTTCAGTGCCACAAACCACAGTATTCAGCCCCTGGGGTTATCCTCAATGTCCTTAAACCAACATGAAGGAACCATTTTCCATATCAGCTATGCACGAGTCAGTACCAATTCACTAGTAACATAAGTGTGGCTATGCACCTAGTAGGAACCAGGTTCGGACTACACATTTCACATTTGCCAGCAAAGAAAAGCTTTTATCCCATCCGTCCAGGTTAGATTCATACTCAAATCATATAGGGGAAGAGTGCACTAATCCTTCAGCCAATCAAGTCACTCGTAAAGTCTCTTTAGCAATAAACTTATTTAGCCCAGAGGAAAATTATGCAATCTGAAAAATCTGTCTGCTTACTTGAAAGATATAATTCTTATGTCAAACCAATTGATTATCCTTTTAATTTTTCAGTGTTGTGATTTGCTTAACCAGTTAACAATGTCAAAGTGTTGTTCTTCATTGACTTACATAAAGGTTATCATGGCACCACCTTATAATTACCCATAGCTTATCTGTATCAAATAGAATAAATCAATTTTAAATTGTAACTAAATACAGAAATCCAACTACAAACTAAATGCTTCCCTTTAAGCCGTGACTCAAGCACTTTAAGTCATAAATTATGTTGTATAACCAGTCAATTTCAACACACCATTTAATTTTCAACAAATGAAAAATAGACTAGAGCTCAAAGGAAAACTGGACTATTCTCAGTTCTCTCCTTTTCTTGACCTACCTCCTCACCCCCACCTTTGGTCACCTCCCCTTTTTCCCTTTCTCAATGTCTAAGCCCTGCCACTATACGGTGCTTTGAGACTATCCTGTCATTGTTGATCTTCGTCTATATCTTCCCTTTACCAACATCGTCTACAGACATGGTGTCTACTTTCATATGTATGCTTATTACTTCCAACTCTACTTCTCTGCTTCCACCATTCACTCTGGGACAACTAGTGTGCTGATTGATGCCAAATCAGACATCAAATGTTGGATGAACCTTCAACTTCCTTCATCTGAACATCAACAAAACCAAAGCCATCATGCCTGGCTCCAGTCAGCGCATCTTATCCGCTGGCACCAACATAATCAACCTTTATGATAGCCCACATTGCACAATCTTGGCGTTTTGACCCTCAGCTCTCTTTCAAATCCTTTTTGAAATCTCTGACCATGACTGGTTTTCTCCACCTTTGAATATCGCCTGTCTCAGTTTCTTCACCCACTCCACTGCTGATATTTTCATTCTGGGTGTGACAGTTCAGTGTTGATCGGTTGTTGTGAAGGTCGGGACGACCCAACACCAGTCACATTCAGTGGTAGTAATCTTATCAATATCCTCATTTAAGTCTTTGAAACCTCTAGATTTGATTTCTCTGACACTCTCCTTTCCCGGCCTCCCAAACTCCAGTTTGACAAGAAGCCACAAATCACCTTCTCTCCTGCAGTACCGTCTGCAAAGTCCAATGGCTCCTTCTCCTGAGCAATCAACTTCAAGCACTCTAACCTTCAAAACTATCCACTCTCCTGTCCTTCCCTATTTCCGCAATCTCCTCCATCACCACTCTCCTGCCCACTCCCTCAGCTCTGTAAGCTCAGGCTGCTGCATGACCCCTGCCTCTCCATTCCACTAATGGCAGATACATTTTAAGCCACTAAAAACTTTCAGCTTTGCTCACTGTGTCAGTGGGATATTAAATTCCCTATATTGATTATTAGATTATATATTCCTACAACCTCATTTACTTTTCCAAGCAGAATTGGTCATTCATTTCATGGCAGAATTGGCCATTCATTTCATTGCAGTGTGCAAACTGTCTCCCATGTTCACCTGCAAAATGCACAGTTACAACCGTTTCCAGTAAATCCTGTAAAGCGTTTTAAGATGCCTTTTCAACATGAAAAGTCCTATATTAAATCCAAAGATTATTAGTATTCTAAGGCCCTAAGAAAAAAATTCAATCTTGCTTTTCTCTGCAGCCTCCAATGCTATAAAATTGTATAATATTTAATCACTGGTCAATACAGACCTTGTAGAACAGTATGCTGTGGATGGCAACTGACAGAAATGATCTTCCAGAAATGATTTGTGGGCGTTTCACCCACAAATGTTCAGCCAATTCACTTTACAGTATATTCTGTGAAGCACTGTGAGACGTCTAGAAGACGTAAAAAGCGCTATATCAAATGCAAGGATTATTATTATTATTATTCCTCGATCTATAATGACTCTCTCTCCAAACGTTTTCTACAACTTCCTTATCCTAGTTTAACTAAAGTGTGATTAACAAGTCATCAAGTTCAATGCTTGTAACTGGAGAGAGATTAATAGTTGTTGACTTGATCCTGTCTGCATTCAGCACAGCTTATTTGTTTGCCCACTGTAATCAGCAGTGTGAGGGTTAACGTGAGGCAATGGTTGAGCCAGTTAAAGCCACCAGATAGAACTGCAGTTAAGCTTTGATTCCAAAAGCATTAGTTGACTGGAGTTACATTAAAAAAAACAGAATGAAAGTGACCTTTCAGCCCACATGCAACTATAATTTGAGTTCAATTATCTAGCAAGCTCTGTAAACCATTGCAATTATGTTTTCTCCTGGAGCTTGACTTTACCATGCTTAACCATATTTGCTTGCCTGGATTACACATGCTAAAATGTTACAAAGGGTATATTTCAGAACACCAGTTACTGATAATATGAGCGACAGAGGGGGCAACCCCATACAACATCAAATACAGTCAGCAGTTTCTCTGAAGAAACACCACTAACAAGATTTCAAGCAATGCATTAAGTGGAATAGGTCTGCCGGGGTCAGCAATCCAGCACTTACATAGATGATGGATCAGAGATGTGGTTTGCTGAACTAGAAAGTCTTAACATGACTGTAGTAAAACAATTTTTAAAATCCCGAGATTGATCACAGTAAGAGTGGGCTGCTACTGGCTGCAAATAATGGAGTTCCAGCAACTACCGAGCCGTGATACCCATGAACGAGGAAAAATGTAATAAAGAAAAATGTATTTGGTTGACCAATCACTGCTTCAGTTGGTGCACGAGCTTCAGAAAGTTCCAACCATTTAAGACAATATGTAACACAATTAAATCAATGCTTAATTAGCTCATAGTTTAGGCTGACACTCCAACTTGTTTGTGAGGCTGCAAGATGTTAAATTGGGGTCCCATCTACCTGCTCAGGTGGACAATAAAAGATCCCATGGTACCATTGAAAAGAGAAGGGGATTTATCCAGGTGTCCTGTCCAACAATCCCCCAGACTAGTCATTCACTTCATGGTTGTTTGTGGGACACTACTGTGCACAAATTAGCTGTGTACGTGCTGCACTCGTAAGTTACCTCAGAGACTTTGAACGCCCATTGATTCTGTATCCAATCATTCACTTCTGGAGTCATTATCAATTGTAACAAGATAACCAAACTACCAATCAGACTTACAAAATGTTTTGTATTTCAGCACGAAAAAAGCCTTGGCCAAAATAAACATTGCCTTTGCTCGTGTTTAATTTCAGGCACTCGGACTAATTGAGATTCTTCTTGTATTACTTACCAGTAGTCCAGCCAGACGTTTTCCACAAAAAGATCTTCTGGGAACGGATCGATAAGGACAAGCTCAGAAATCTCCCTGTGGGTTACAGACAGGCTGTGATCAACTAAATATTCTTCTATTCAGGATGCATTTCAGTAATGAGAGCACAAAGTTCAGCCTGACCTCAATGACCTCTCCGCTGAAGCTAAAAGGCACAGTTAAACAGGAGTTTAAATGAATTCTGTCTCAGATGCAATTGTCTCAGATATTCACAACTTCCTCACGTCAGATCCCACCGTAAGGGCAGGATGTTACAATTCAAATTAATCTGGGCAAGATATTAATCGAAGAACAGAAAGCAAACCTGCATTTCAAGTTTCTCATTTCACTGATTACAAATCACAAGCATACAGATGTGACACTTCACTCAGTTTCTCTGGTATAATAATAGTAGTAGCAAGTGTTTGGAAAACAGTGCTTGCAAGCATTAATTTCTTCAACAACTTAAAACATGCAGAAAAGCTCTCCAGTTATTTCAACTGATAAAATCATAGTGTAACAGCACAGAAACATCCATTCAGCTCATCAAGTCTATGCTGGTATTCATCTCCACCTGAGCCTTCTAATTCAATCCTCATCTCCTATTCCCTCCCCATAATATGTAACATCCCTAATTTTCAAGCATCTATCAAATTTCCTTTTAATATTTGGGGTCAAAACGCATCACCATGTTTAAGAGAATCCAAACCAGAGATTTCCATATATGTAAGCCACCTACACATTAAATACATTAAATTATTACACATTAACAAACTGGGCATGTTCACGCTGGAAAACAGAAGTTTAAGAGGCGATGTGATTGTGTTTTTTAGATTGTAAAGGGACTGGATAAGCTTTTATCTCGTCCAGTAGAACCACAAGACGGTGGCCTGCAATTGAAGCGGGAGAAAATTCGAAACAAATCTGCGGAAACACTATCTCAGTGAGATATGGAACAGGCTCCCTAGGGAGCCAGTGGAAGCAAAAAGTGTTGATTCTTTCAAAAGCAAATTAGATAAGATTTATTTTAGGAAATAATATCTTGGGATACAGTGTATGGTTTCGGACATGACACGTGCATGTGACTGCCAGCGTAATGGAAGGGGAAATAGATGGACCTTGGTCATCTTTCCTCTAGCAATTCTTATGTTCTGACACATGGAAATTTCGCTGTGTCTGGAATGGAATGTACACTCTCATTCTTGACGGATGCATCCTGCTTACCATTTTGAAAGTCAGTTACAACGAGACCTCGCTTCTCCCTCTTCACATGAAGATAGTAAAGAAAGAGAGACAATACCACTAAAACCAGTTATATCTCTATAACATGGTTTGGGTTGCTTGTGGTAGAGTACCGGGTGATACTCATGAGAAACATTTAAAATGGCATAAAAAATGTGAGTGTCTAATATTGGCCACATATGTTTGATCTCGTTTGTCTAGTAGCCATGTAGCTCATATCACCTCAGGATATCACATTGCTCATATCAGGTCACTGAAGAGAGATGCTGCACCAACATATAGTAACCTTATAGTTTCCAAATTGAATTAGAAAACTTAGCAACAAACACTGACTGAGAAGCTTTGGAAAGTTCACTTTTACTGCAATTTAATGGCAGCTTTCAGAGGATGATCATGAATTCGGAAGCTGTTTCTGCATTGTTAAAACCAGCATCTTCTGGCTGCTGGAACACCTTTCTCCATTAAATATTGAATCAATAACATGACAAATTTCAAATGACAAATGTAGAATTCTGCAATTCCAAGGCAATACCAATTTTACATTTGTTCAACACTTTTCACATCAGGAGGAAGTCCCACAGAGACGGAGCGGAGCTGATAAGGAGGGGAGAAGGGTGACCAAAAGTGGGGTTGAAATATATCTTATACAGGCTTTAAAGGGGGGAATGGAGGGAGAGAGGTGGAGGGTCTCCAGGAAGGAGGTCCAGAATGGCAGAAAGCTTGCCCAGAAATGATGAGGTGGGTCAAGCAAGAGACGGGAAGCAGACAGAGATAGGACAGTATGGGAACGGGTCACAGAGATAGTGTGGGGTACAGCCATGGAGCGATTTAAGTATAACTAGGATGGTAAAAACATTAATAAGTGATCAGAAAGGCCCAAATTATTTGTCAACCTGGCTCAATGATGGGTTAAATTGGTTCAGTTGGGAGCTCATGGAGTCAGAAAATAGGGATCAAGCGCTACATCAGGACCTTGACCTCACATAGCCTAAGGTGACTAGTCCAGTACTGTGAGTGTGTTGTGGGGTGGGGGTGTTGTGGGGTGGGGGTGTTGTGGAGTGGGGGTGCTGTGAGGTGGGGGTGCTGTGTGGTGTGGGTGCTGCACTGTTGGAAGTTTAATATCTTATTCTTCAGATAAGATGTTAAACCGAGTTCTCATCTGCCTGATTGAGTGGACTTCAAAGATCCCATAGCACTATTCAAAAAGAAAAGGGACTTTCTCCTTGTGTCCTGGTCAACGACATTCAGGATAAAATTGATCATTCACTTCAAAGCTATTTGCTCACATATTACACAGTCATTACATTGTCCAGTAAAATCCTGTGAAGTGACTTTGAGTTGTTCTCCCGACATGCAATACAATACCAAATGCAAGGATATCTATTTAGACGTGAATACCAAATGCAAAGATTACCATTTAGGATTATTAAGTGCGATGTCATCTTACCAGTCATGAATATGGGCATAGAATCTTGCGTTGAGTGCCCCGAGCTCTGAGCCCACAAAAATAAAAGGGCTCTCAATCTTAGCCTCTTTGACAAGCCTGTGCAGGTCATCCACCATTCTGTAAAAGAATGAAAGTCTTTTTTAAAGTCTGCCGATGAGCCAGAGCCACAGAAGTCAGATCACATTCAGATGGCTTGCTGAGTTTATTGAGTGAGTGAGTTTATTTTCCAGGAGTGGGTGGGGGGGGGGGGGGGTTGTAAGCTTGTGATCGAGGTCTTCTTGGAGGTGAACTGGCTTCAAAATGTGATGCTGTGCTGCCATCAGCAGTGCCCTGTGGACCCACCCAGCTCAGGATCTGGACTCCCGAGACCGCCACAGAGGACCGGCTCGATTCCAACATTCCGATGCCAAGCATCTCATGTTGAAGTCAGTTCAGCTCCAAGGAGACCCCACTTACTTCAGTGCAACACACCCCCACCCCCTCCCCCAGGAGGTTAAACTCACTCACTCGATGAATTCAGCAAGCCACCTGGGGCAATCTGACTTCTCTGTCTTTTTAAAGATATATTAACAACCACAGCTGCATTTCTCAAAATAAATCAAGAGGTTTCACTGGTGGAGTAAGACATCTAATCAAAGTGCGGCACAGCCATGAATTCAATTTCAAACTGATTATTCTATCAAGCAGGTACTGGCTGCCTCAGCATAATGTCAACTGCTGCCAAATATATCATCTTATAGATTTCTTCATTGCGAGACAGATTACGAATGCTCTGCACCACATTACTGTGCTACAAGCACAGTATTATGACTGAACTGTTTGTGTAAGAAGTGAAGGAAATGAGACCAAGGAATAAATAACAATAGCATCCGGCCTGCAGAGAATGAGAGAATGTTCTCATTGTGGCCCATCGCCTGGCATTGTTCCTTTCTCCGTCAGAAAATTTTCCATTTCAAAATTATTCCAGCTCTGGTTTATCAACACAAAGGAGAATGTTTGTTAGCAGTCAAATTTAGGCACAAAAATATACAGTCACTTTGCCATATATTCTGTGAAGTGCTTTGAGAGGTCTGGAAGATGTGATAAGGTGCTCCATCAAATGCAAATTCAAGGATTATTAATTACGCTAAACAAAAGGCAAAATACTGCAGATGCTAGAAATCTGAAATAAAAACAGAAGTCGCTGGGAACATTCAGCAGGTCAGGCAGCATCCATGGAGAGAGAAAAGTGAGTTAACGTTTCAGATTGGCTGTACACAATCTACTTTTCTATTATACCTCTTACTTTACTGATTGTTGTCATATTTATCAGTTTAGCAACAAGGCTCAAAGGCCACACTGTGACTGTGTAGAAAGGTACAGAGGTCATCGCAGACCACACTCTGTATCTGAATACTAAAATTCTATATTCAGCAAGTACAGAATTTCACCCAAAATTTGTAAGAAAAAAAAGCACCAAATAATCCATCACACACTTTTACAGATCAGAGCATATCAACTAATCCACGTGATTCAAGCTTACCTTCCAGTCGTTGACTCTCTCCACATCTTTTCCAGGCCTGTTGTTTCGTTTTGAAACATTTTCTTACTAAATCCAAGTCCAGCTCTGTCATATATACATACCTGCCAAATATGGACAAAGTACATTATGAGACCGACTGCAGCAACAAGATAATGAAGCAGTTGGTACATTATATCAATTGTTAGCACACTAAAGTGAGAAATATTCACCTACCTCTTAAACCAGTGGCTGAAGTTAAATAAACGTTCCCATAATTGAGTAAGAACAGGATTAGCATGGTAATGGGTAAATGCCCTCAAACTACCCGAGAGGAGTATCAAATTTAATTCTATTCATGCAAACTCAACCAAACATACAAATGCTGAGGCCTAACAGATAAAAGTGTTTCCTAAAATCTATGTGGTAAACACACAGATTAAATGTTTCTTCAGGCCACTTCTCATTCAGCAGATCTACAAGTGACAAAGTCTTCACTGATGTGCAAACTTTTTTTTAATACCAAAACAAAATTGAATAAAAAAACCTATGAAATCGTCACCTTATGATGCTAATATCACAATGATAAAATGGAGCCAACAGAGGCATCTATCCATACTAGATGCTCATAATAGATTAAGCATACACTGTGCAGAAAACTGCAATTGCAATACTGTGTCTAAACCTCAGTTTTGCCCACAAATACATAGTCAATCCACTTTACAGTATTATCTGTGAGACGTCTCAATGACATGATAAAGTGCTATATTCAATGCAAGAATAATTATTATTATTGGCACATTGGTGTACTGCACCCACACGCAGCCGAGATCTGAGAATGAGGTGGTATACATTTAGAGGCCAACAACTTTGAGACATGCTACAGAGCAAGACATTCACATCCTGAGGCCTGCACAGAGTGAGATGGCAAAATACTTTTTAAAAATAAATTCAAAAGTGGAAGAATGAAACCGAATCCAGTTCTCTTCCTCGGGAGCCTTTACCTACGACAATTAAATCACAGAGAGAATAAAACAAGACAGATGACGTTTGAGTTTTCTATTTAAAATGCAACTCAATTACACAAAAATTAAACAGCAGACCTTTGTGGAGCATATAACATATGAGTCATTCTGCAAAATCAAGTAGCAAGCAGACTAGTTGTCGGTCATGCAGTCCTGTTGAGCCAACTTGATAGAACGACTGTCATGGGATACACTACAATTTCTCCTCGATACACCTTAACTGGAAGTAGTGATTCACACTATAAATGGGATGGAAATATGAATTCTGCAGTTTAGCATTCTTGACTTTGTGCTAGCTTGATAATATAAAGCTATAATTTAAACAGCATTTCAAAATAAAACCCACTCCACACTTTACATTTTAAGTATTGGCAGCTAAATAATCGCCTAGCGTGCCTGAAGGAGCAGTCCACCGGTATAAAGGTGACCAACATAAATTTCATCGTAAAACAGGTTACTCGGGAGTTTAATCGTCTGAACATTACAATGTTAGTGAGGTACCCATTATACGCCAGGATTTCACATTTGCCATCAGTACGTTTCAACATTAAATATAGCTCAATATATTTTCCTCAAGTAGTTTCATGAAACTAATAAGACTTTTTCAGTGCAGTACAAAAAGAGGCCTGAGTGCATTTACACTCCAGATACACATTCTATTACACATGATGAATTGTCATTTCCTTTTTTTTAACAATACATTTGGGAAGAAAGTAGAAGAAAAATATTTTTATAGCACCTTATTATAATGAAATGTCAAAGTTTTTTTTGACACTATATATTTATTTATAATTATAATATTTAGTACAACAGAAATCCAAAACAAACACAACACCCTCTGTTACAATTTTTCCCTTTTCTCCAGATTCAAAACACATTCCGTTGTTTACGGTACATTCCTTCCCCGCACATAGGTCGTGCACACATTTTTTGGGACACTCCCTTTAACACAGTCAGGAGTCGCCCGTGTACACCACATCTACGTGCGCGCCTGCACCCACCCTGATAAGGCGCACTTGCCGCAATGTAAAGTGCTTCGCACAGAACAATTGCCTTCACCCCTCCAAATCTCGTCTCCCTAACTTATTCCCTCACTGCTATATTCCCTCCTCTTATTTCATCTTAGAGGCATTGATGCTTTCTGATTCAACCAACAACACCGGATGGCGTTTGTATAGCACCTTTCACGTCATGAAGCCGTACCAAGGCGCTGGACAGTCAACGCCCTCCCCCCCCACCACCCGAGCTGAGGGATGGAATAAAGAGGGGTAGAGGGCAATACAGTACAGCAATAAAGTTGCTCTTCCAAGGTGGAGAATAGGTGCATCAGCTTTCATGTCAGGATGTCCCAAAGTGCTTCATTGGATATACTGTAAAATGGAGTGCCCGTGCCTTTTGTGGACAAATACAAATCATAAAAATGTAGAGCACTGGAGGCGGCCATTCAGCCCATCAAGGCAGCATACGTCCTCGAAGCAGGACATATATAATGTAGTTGGAGCTGTACACTGAGGCTAAGTTGTACTTGGGAAACTTGTCATGGACACGCAGTGCAAGAAATGGAAACCTATTTATCCTACCTTCATCACAAAGATATCTTTTCTCTCAGAAATAAAAACTTGGGAGCAAACTTAGAGGAAGACTCCATTAAAGAGGCCCTACCATGATGCCAACTCAGGTATTTGCAAGGATTAAATGCAAGGATTATTATTATTATTTCAATTAAATATACTCCCTTTTTTAAAATAGTTTCGAGATTTACATATTTTAAAATGTTAAATATTTTCAAAGGATAAAAAAGTTTTTTTTGTAAACTAAGTGCTAAAAGATGAGGGTATTATATGGGCTTCAACTGAGAGAGATTCTTTCATCTACAATGTTCCTTCTACAAAAACATACAAAAAGCTATTATTTCAGATTTCAAGAGCTTTTCTACTTTGGTGCAGAAATGGCACATCAGGCACCAAAGGGCACAATTCAATTATGGTTGCCTCACTGACCTAGAATTCATCAAAGATTTCTTTCCAATGGAAGTATAATCTTTCAACAAATATACACTTGGGCCAGAGATAAAATCCATCAGTTCTTGAAGGCATGACACTTCAGAAGAGGAATTCAATTAAATACTATGTACAGGAAATGCCTCAATCAAAGCCTTTTAGAAAATAAATGAAAAGATGATTCTAATTCAACAATAAATTCCGAGGGCCATTTATATCTCCCTTCCCATGTGTACTTCAGTGAAACTGTTGCTCCTCAAGCTTTATAGCTTCTGTTCTTGGCCTGAAGAGGAAGGGGACAGAGAAAGGACTGAGATTCAGCATTATGTCTACATTTGGACATAAGCTCACAATTTCAGGTGGCGAGTGTTATAACTGCACTATCAGATGCGCTGACCTTTGAATGAGACATTGGTCCATTCTGCCTGTTCAGGGGAATGTTAAAGATGGCACTGTCTGATGCCTGGTCAAATATCCTCCAGATATATTGGTCATTCATTTCTTAGCTGTTTGTGAAACGTTGCTGTATACAAAATAGTTGCTGTGCTTTCTTTTATCAATTGTGACAGTAATTACTGTAAAGTACATCAAGATATTTAAATGTTTACGCACTATTAAAATGCAAGTTCTATTTGAAATTACTAACACCAAGAGCTCACTCTATGCAGAATCATGGCAATGGACCCAGAGAGCGACTCGTAACCAGAAGACTGATGGTTTCAATGCCACGCACAATCCCAGCTGTTACGTGTTGATCAGCTCCCAGATAGACTGTGAAGTGTGCTCCCTTTAGGATAAAACATGCCATGGGAAGAAACAAAATCCTGTCATGAGCTGGCTTAATCAATGCTCCTTCATGAGCAAAGATAGAGCAGCAATGAGGGGGCAACCTTGAAAGGAAAAAACAGACAAGAAAAAGGACCAAAATGAGGATTGAAAAATTATAAAATATTACTTAGTGCAAATGCTCTTAGAAAATGTATTCCATCCCACACTATGTTCAGGCTTCTATTTAAAATTAAACTGGTCTAGGTTTAGTTCAGATTGAAAAGTGTTGGTTTTTTTGACAGAGGGGGTCTGGAGATTAGGACTGGTTTAAACAGTCTGAGTGTGGATGCAAAACGGATGTCAATCTGGCTCAGTTGGTAGCACTTTCGTTTCCAAGTCAGAAGGTTGTAGGTTCAAGCCCCACATCAAGACCTTTGAACTGATAGTCTAAGCTGACACTCTAGTGCAGTGCTGAGGGAAGCCTTCTTCATCAGAAGTGTCGTCCTTTGGATGAGGTCTTGTCTGACTGTTCAGGTGACATTAAGGATTCCATGTTACTATTCAAAAGTAAGAGTTTCTCCCAGTGTGCTGCTCACTTCATTGTAAATTCTGTGAAGTGATTTCAGACATTCCAACAATATGATAAGGGCGCTATAACAAATGCAATGATTATTATAATAAAACAGCCTTTGTGTAAGTCTGTGCACCACAGTTTGTTCAGTCACCCATCCAACAATTTGATCTTCAATGAAACAAAAAGGAAACAAAAATACTATTTACAATTGAATAAGATGAATGCAGAAACCAGTGGTGCAGGTCCATAACACAAGACTGACCATAAATTGGCTTTTAAAAGCTGAAAGGACATCTGGCTGATGTGGTAAGTGGAAATATAACAGTAGTACAAAAGAGGTTTCTCTTGTGAGGATGAAGGTTAAAGCATGTTTGTCAGAGCATAATACTGCACAGGGAGCTGTACTCCGCATTAGGAGTTCTACATTTGATGAGAGTACTTGACGTGATAAAATGCCTTGTCTTGATGTGCACAAAAAGTCAACCGAGTGTAAACTGTCATTTATAACATCTTACCTAGTAGAATGAAAAAAAAACTAATATCAATGTATCACAAATACTTTATGCAGCCCCAAAACATTATTTGTACCATTTCAAAAACAGGCATTTTTCAGTTTTATTTTCTGCCATTGCTCTTGTGAGGACTATACGTAATAGCATACAGTTATAGGTATTGCCACACCATGTCATAAGTACCATGTCAGAGGTGGTTGTTCTTCATTCCATGGTAAAATGAATAATCATGCTTGTAATTTCAGAGCGCTGGGGTACCACAGAACCCAGTGATAAGCAGGAGACTCAAACAAAAACACCCTGGAGATGCACCAGCTCACATGTAACACATGATCATAATTCATTCAGGGGCAACCTCGAAAAGCTAAGAAACATCAAAATAATCCTATTTTGCAGAATTATTATAATTATCCTTTGCAATTCTCCTAGCATCTGTGACACTGAAATAGTTTCAAAGTGCTTCACAAAGTTTCTGTAAAGTATAGTGACTGTGTATTCTAGGCAAATGCAGGAGTCAATTTGTAGACAAGTAGCTATGAAGTGAATGACCAATTTTATCTGGGAGGGGGTTCCTGGCCAGGATGGCGGAAGAAACTCCCTTCTCTTTTCAAATCGTGTCAAGGGATCTTCAACCATCACCTAAACAGTCTGACGAGCCTTTGGTTTTAATGTCTCAAGCAATAATTGTTTCAAAATAAATTTTCACTATTTTAAATTCATTTCCTCCAGTCCTACTTGTCTGATTTAATCTGAAGGAACTTTCAACAGGTACTCTATCATTACTATTTAGTTTAATGTTTTATATACCTAATTGAGATGCTTCCCCTACCCCCCTCCCTACCTTCCAGGTCATTTCTTTTTAAAGTATTGAGAACATCATGGTGTATGTTGTTGTTTACTGAAGCAAAACTGTGCTCCAGGCAGTTAGCGTTATCACTTCATGACTCATTGTGCTCAGTGAAACACAATGGCAGAACGTGGGTTTATTGTCTGCAGCTACATTGCAGCCTTTTATATAATGTTTTACTACTAAGTGCAATGAACTATTTTCAAAGAATTAGCAATACTTCTAACAGCCTCGTGGTTTTTGGAAAGTTAAATATTTTTACAGTGAATGATAACTATGTCATGAGTCAAGGAACCAGGAGATGTTTTTTGAAGCAGAATCTTTGATGAACTGGAACAACCTTGCCAGAATACATCAACAACAACTTGCACTGATACAGTGCCTATCGCTTGAAAGAACATCTCAAAGTGCTTAAGCTATTAACTCAGCTTCAGTGATCCCATCATTTCAAGTCCTTGTATGAATTCATCTTCCTCACGTTCATGTTCAATAACTCATCCAAACTAAATCTTTTAGAGTAATAACTGTCATCCTTGCATTTGGTATACTGCCTGTCAGGTGAGGAAGGCGTCTCAAAGCAGTCCATAGGATATACTGTGAAGTGCAATGACTGTGTATTTTGTAGACGAATGCTGCAGCCAACTTGTGCACAGCAACGACCCACAACAGCCAGTGTTACTAAAACTCAGCTTTTTTTTATTTCCTTGCCATCTCCTGAAAGCCCTAATGTATGCTTTGATATAATCCTAGATACCCTCTGGTCTCTCACCCAAGTGACCACTCTTCAGGGGTGAGTCTGGACAATGAACGTTAGCAGGCTGTACAACCGCAGGGGTGCATACACGCATCACACCAAAGCTAACTGGAACGTGATCGAGAAGGGAAATGAAATTCAACTTGTTGGAAAAAAAACATAACACATTGTGAATCTTTATCGAGAGTCAAGTCCATTTATGAAGGAACAATGGTGGTGCCAAAGCAGCTGGCAGAATCTTACTCAATTACACACTGAAGATCACTATTGTTCTCTTTTTTTTGGTCAGCAGGGTGTCTGACACATGCAGAAACCCATCACCATGCTTAAGAGTATCCAAACCAAACTGTGAATTCCATGCATCCTACCTGCACATGGAAATCCCAGAGACAGATTGTTGAATGGCAGACGGATTATTGTTCTCCATAAGAGTAAAGGGCCACTTACCTGTACTAATTGAGAGATGTCCTTTTGAATCAAGAGCCACACATCAGAAGACATGCCAGCAGGTGCATCACATACCACTGACGAGACAGAAGATCAAAAACACAGATTTTAGCCTCCATTTCATTCAACATTTCAATGTGTTTTTTTCAGGTACGATTCAAAAAGAGAAGGGAGTTTCTCCTGGTGTCTTGGCCAACAATCGCCAAATAAAAATTGGTCTTTCGCTTCATGGCTGTTTGTGGGACATTGCTGTGCACAAATTGGCTGCCATATTTGCCCACAAAATGCACAGTCGATGCACTTTCCAGTGTGTTTTGTGAAGCGATTTGGAACGTGTTCCTGACATGAAAGGCAATATATGAATTGTAAGGATTATTAATTATTATTACGTAAACCACCATCTTACTGGACTCCAGGTATCTGGAATTTGTACCTAGCCAGATCAGGCTAGTCGAGATTTTAGTATATTGTTATTATGCTATACATTTAGATACCACGGTTCCTTCCATTTATTCCCCAATATTTCTACAGATTTCCAAACTTCATGTAGCACAAAAATAACACTAGAGCCAAGCTGTGAAAATCTGGATAGCCTTACTCACCAACTGGCTGCCCCTTTCCTTGGCAATTCAAATACAAACTTTGTCCCAGGCCAATGTCGACCAGTTTGCCTTCTGCCAACAAGGAAAGATAACAATTGTAAATAATTTCAAGTCTGCAGAGTCTGACATAGATAGATCAATAAACGGATGTGAATAAATGCCACACTTTGCAAACATCACCATTTCATAGCAAAATAATTGGCATAGCAATTTATTGTACTTAAAAACAATATGTCCATCATAGTGAAAGTAATCACTCCCTGTATCCATTATAAAACCTAGGAAATGCTACCAGGCAGGCTTCAGATCAATGAAGAGATGACACTTAAAATTACAGTGTGATGCCATTATAACATTGTATGTCTAGACTTCCAAAAAACCTTTGTTAAAGTAACACATGAAAGCCTTTCAAAATCTAATCCCCCTGGGGTTTAAGGACAAGACATGTACGTGGAGTAGTCAATGGCTAAAGAAAAAGGAGAGGGGTGTTCAATGGATGCCTTGATATATATTCAGGATGGTACCAGGAATGAGGGACTTCAGTTATCAGGAGAGGCTAGAGAAACTAGGATTATTCTCCTTGGAGCAGAGAAGGTTAAGAGGAGACCTAATAGAAGTTTTCAAAATTATTAGGGGATTTGATAGGGTGAACAAGGAGAAACTATTTCCACTGGCGGGTGGGTCGGTAACCTGAGGACAACGATTTTAAAACAGCGAGTTGTTCAGATCTGAAATATATTGCCTGAAAGGGTGGTGGAAGCTGATTCAATAACAACTTTTATGAGAGAAGTAGATAATTATTTGGGGAAGACAAGTTTACAGGGCTATGGGGAGAGTGCGGGGGAGTGGGATTGATTTGGATATAGCTCTTTTCAAAGAGTCGGCACAGACACGATGGACTGAATGGCCTCCTTCTGTGCTGTATAATTCTATGATTCTATGATATTCCTTGATTTGCATGATCTTGGTTTGCAAGACAGTGAAATATGCCCAAATGCAGAATCCAATTAAATATTACTCACTTAGGTTAAGAAAATGTTTTTATGACACAACTCAAAAACAGAAGTTTTTCCCAGGGTGCAGGTTAGCAATCCCTCAATAAAATTGGTCATTGGTTTCACAGTTTGAGGGACATTGGCAAGTGCAAATTGACTGCTGCGTTCACCTGCAAATACACAGTCACAACACTTGTGGTATATTTCGGTGCATATTTTGCGAAGTTTCAACAACATGATAAGATGCTATATCAAATACAAGTTTTATTGTTATAAATACTTCAGTCCCAACATAATTAAGATGCCAGCCATCTTCATTTTAGTTTGCAATGCACCATTTAATGGACCTTTTTTATCAAGTGCAAAGGCAAATGTAAACATTGCTATATCTCACCTTGAGGCTGAAGTAAGGTTCCTTCTCTCTGCAGAGATGCATAATTAAGGAATGGTGGAATCACAAAGACAAGAAGGAAGTACTTTGCAACCGAGAGGAATCGGGAACAGAAACTTGACTCGGGAACTGAGGCTGGTCTGACTTCTGAGGGAAGAACTTCATTCGCATTCTTTATCTGTATCAAAAAACATTCAATAAACATCCATTATGGTTTGTAAATAGCAATGTATAGATCTCATTTTACATATGGGAACACAGAGCAATAAGTATTTGTCAGCTTTGAAATGCATCTCTGCTCAAATTAACCAGTTACAATTCGTCATTGATATGCAGCAAAATGTATTGATCGTAATCAAACAAAGCAGCAATGAAAGATTACTCTGAGACCTCATTCTGGAGTTGACATCCTCCACAGGCATTCAAAAAGATACTTCTTCAAAAATCTCTGCTAGGTAAACAGAAGTGTGTGAAGTTTTCGCCCACAAAATACAGTTAATTCACTTTACAGTATCTTCGGTGAAGCTCTTTGAGACGTCTAGGAGACGTGATAAAGTGCTATACAACAACAACTTGCACATATATAGCACCCTCCACACAGGGTAGCATCTCAGAGCACTTAACAGTAGCGGAGCCTGACTCCAAGCCAGGGGGAGCGGGGGAGGTGGCCGTAAGTACGGTCGAAGAGGAAGGTTTTCAGGCTGGAGTTTTGAAAGATGAGAGAGGGGACAAGGCGGAGGGATTGAGGGAGAGTATTCCAGTTGAGCGGAGGTGCCCAGTGGTAGACTGGGGAGTGAGGAGGTCGGAGAGATAGGAAGGTGTCAGAGAGTGAATGGATTTGAACAGGAGTGTGAGGATCTTGAAGTCAAAATCAAATGGTAGGATTATAAGTATTATTATTTTACGGACCCACCTCCCCAACTCGCCCCACCATGTTCGAAGATCAACTCAATTCCACTTCTCTTCATATCCCTGAATACCCCTGTCTATCAAGCATATATCTATTTGATTTTCAAATTCTTCAACCAAATCGACCTGCATTGCCTTCTGGAGGAGTGAATTCCACATCCCCACCATTCACTGCATAAAGAAATGCTTTCTCATTTCACTTCTAAATGATTTAGACTCAAGTCTCATCCCACCTCTTCATAGAAATTCTCGAGGTATTTATTGAAATTGAATGAACACACTCTCTCTCTCGAGGGATACACATTGTAATTCCAGAGCGTTTTAGGTGGAGGTTGAAAGAGTTAAGGCTTGGGGACCTCAGAGTGTGCGTAGTGGTATTGCTGGAGTCTAATCAGCTAAAACCGCAAAGCTTACCAAAGCATCCACATAAACCTATAAACTCTTGTGCTGTAAACAATCTACGATTCCTATCATTCTAACAAAGTTCTGTCCAACTCTGATCAAATGTTTTTCTTCTTGTCCCATGGGAATTTACATTGGCATACTTGTGACTAAGGTTTATTTGCTTTACTGCTTTATTTGAAATTGCTCCTTCTCTGTATAAACACTTAGCAAATACATTTGTTTCATTACACTACGATTCATGTTGATCTCATATCTTCTCACTGAACCTGGTAAAACAGCAGCTGTGAACTGCAGTCAATTAAAAGACTTGGAACATAATTGGGACATGGAATATACAGTGTATTATTAAACAAAGGTCAGATATTCTCCATACTTAGAGGAATAGTGCAGTTTAAAACATTTTCATAAGTGCCCTGGTTTCCTATGCAATTACAAGCCATCACAATGAAAATCAATTGCAGGAAACCTTTTTACAGTAGCAGTCACCATTCTCAAACATAAAATGCTGTAATAAAAAACTGAAGCACTGAAAAATGTCCAATGAGATAACAGCATAATGAGGTAAGTGCATTTGCTTTATTTATAGTGAAAGCCAATTATAGGAGGGTGTCAAAGACCCCGAAACATGCATGAAGATTTCGGCTGCACATAGGGGTATAACTGGGCGAAGTTTCAGAAACGTCCTTTTGCCAGGTCTGAAGCAGAAGCGAGGATCAAACAAAATGTCGGAGCTGTGCACTGGCACAGTTAGCAGAGTAAGTGCTGGAGAGATTTAATGGAAGCAGAGCGAAAGGCAAGAAGGCACTGGCAAAAGATGATGGGAAGGTTTCAGTTTTGTTGACCTTCAGCTGAAGAAAGTTAAGGCTTTCAGCGAGGACATGATGCCGGACTGACAGTTGGTCAGAAGTGCAATGACCCTGGAATCAAAAGTGGCGGCTATTCATTGTGGAAACGAACCTCATGCCCACGGATGAGGTCACTGTCATTTGTAGATACCGGGTCAGTTTCTTGACATTTATTTGTGTAAGTCAAGTCTACATTACACATATCATCATGTAAGCATATGTACATAACTTTGCAATAAATATTAAAGCACCTGTGCTGGAATTTCTTTTGATGTAGGTGTAAGTGTATACATGGCTGTATTTAGATACACATGTCTATAGATATGCATCAATGTATTTATGCCCATAATACCAGCCCCTCCCCAGCACAGCCCCTCCCCCACCCCAGCACAGCCCACCCCCAGCCCCACCCCACCCAGCCCAGCCCCACCCCCACCAGCCCCCCCCACCCCCACCCCAGCCCAGCCCCTCCCCCAGCCAGCCCCTCCCCCACCCCACCCCACCCCACAGCTCCACCCCCACCCCAGCCCAGCCCACCCCCACACAGCCCCTCCCCACCCCACACAGCCCAGCCCCTCCCCAGCACAGCCCCTCCCCCACCCCAGCACAGCCCCTCCCCCACCCCCCAGCCCACCCCACCCCAGCCCCACCCCCACCCCAGCCCCACCCCCACCCAGCACAGCCCACCCCCGCACAGCCCCACCCCCACCCCACCCCACCCCCACCCCACCCCCCCAGCCCCACCCACCCCAGCCCCAGCCCCACCCCACCCCAGCCCCACCCCCACCCACCCCAGCCCCACCCCCACCCCAGCCCACCCCCACCCCAGCCCACCCCCACCCAGCCCCACCCCACCCCAGCCCCACCCCACCAGCCCCACCCCCACCCAGCCCCACCCCACCCCCACCCCACCCAGCCCCACCCCCACCCCACCCCAGCCCCACCCCACCCCAGCCCCACCCACCCACCCCAGCCCCCCCCACCACCCACCCCAGCACAGCCCACCCAGCACAGCCCCCCCCACCCCAGCACAGCCCCACCCCCACCCCAGCACAGCCCCAGCCCTCACCAGCCCACCCCCACCCCAGCACAGCCCCACCCCAGCCCAGCCCCCCCCAGCCCAGCCCCACCCCAGCACAGCCCCACCCCACCCCCAGCACAGCCCCCCCCCACCCCAGCACAGCCCCACCCCCACCCCAGCACACCCCACCCACCCAGCCCCACCCCCCAGCCCCACCCCACCCAGCCCAGCCCCACCCCCACCCCAGCCCAGCCCAGCCCCACCCCCACCCCAGCACAGCCCCACCCACCACCCAGCCCAGCCCCACCCCCACCCAGCACAGCCCCACCCCCAGCCCAGCACAGCCCCACCCCCACCCAGCCCCACCCCCACCCCAGCCCCACCCCCACCCAGCCCACCCCACCCAGCCCCAGCCCCCCCCAGCCAGCCCCACCCCACCCAGCCCCACCCCCACCCCAGCCCCAGCCCCACCCCAGCCCCAGCCCCACCCCAGCCCCCCCCCCCCCCAGCCCCGCCCCACCCCCAGCCCCGCCCCACCCCCAGCCCCGCCCCACCCCCAGCCAGCCCCACCCCCAGCCCAGCCCCACCCCCAGCCAGCCCCACCCCACCCCAGCACAGCCCACCCCCACCCAGCACAGCCCCACCCCACACAGCCCCACCCCAGCACAGCCCCACCCAGCACAGCCCCATCCCCACACAGCCCACCCCACACCCCACCCCCCACAGCACCACCCCACCCCAGCACAGCCCCACCCCACCCCAGCACAGCCCACCCAGCACAGCCCCACCCCCACCCCAGCCCACCCCACCCCAGCCCCCCCCACCCCAGCCCAGCCCCACCCCCACCCCAGCACAGCCCACCCCACCCCAGCACAGCCCACCCAGCCCAGCACAGCCCCACCCCCACCCAGCCCCACCCCACCCCAGCCCAGCCCCACCCCACCCCCACCCCAGCCCCAGCCCCACCCCAGCCAGCCCACCCCCACCCCAGCCCCACCCCCAGCCCAGCCCCACCCCACCCAGCACAGCCCCACCCCACCCCAGCACAGCCCACCCCCACACAGCCCACCCCAGCACAGCCCATCCCCACACAGCCCCACCCCCACACAGCCCCACCCCCACACAGCCCCACCCCCACCCAGCCCAGCCCACCCCCACCCAGCACAGCCCCACCCCCACCCCAGCACAGCCCCACCCCAGCCAGCACAGCCCCACCCCCACCCCAGCACAGCCCCACCCCAGCCCCACCCCAGCACAGCCCCACCCTCAGCACAGCCCACCCCCACCCCAGCACAGCCCCACCCCACCCCAGCACAGCCCCAGCCCTGCACAGCTCAGCCCGCAGCTCTCTCACACACACACCACAGCCAATGTGGCCTGTTTGGATGGCTTCACGCCCACTTGGGTGGGTGTTTGTTGCGCTGTACTTGAGCAAACGTTTTTGAGGAAGTGGCTAATTTTTTTGGTTAATATAATAATATTCCTTGCATTTGATATAGCCCTTTATCATGTCCTCGAGACGTCTCAAAGCGTTTCACAGGATACACTGTAAAGTGTTTTTTGACCCTGTGTTTTGTGGGTGAAAAGAACCTGCAGAATGTGTTTTTTGCTTTGAAGACCTTTTCCTACAGTTTCAAAACCACTGACCTAAATTGGCCACTCTGCTTCCAGCAGGAGGCAACGCATAATATTGGGCTACATTAGGGCTCGTATTTGGCTGACTTTGGGCTAAAAATGGATTTCAATTGCTGGCAACTCTGACCAACGCAGCCAGTAATGGGTCAATGAGCAGCAGTGTGCACCACACACATCATTTAAATCGTCTGAAACCGGGTATTGAAGTTTCACGCAGCAAAAATAGGTCATGTGATAAATCACACGGAGTAATTTTTGTTTGATCTGAAAAGCTCACAGGTCTTTGCATCCAATGAAAAGCTAAGCTATTTGGCACGATGAGTGAACACGTGGACACTAAACATTATTGGGTAGAAGTTTCATCTGGGTCTCGATTTGCTCTATTAACATTTCAAGGATCAAATTCTTCCATACCTTCAGTGAGTTTGAAACCATTTTTCTATAAGAACTACAGAAGATGGGCTTCAAAGTCAAAACTGATTCCAACAATTTGCCAAGTTCTGCACATTTGGAAATGTTACATTAATAGGTCTAAATCTAGTGCAGCATTTTATTCCATGTATTGAGGGATTTGTAGGTCCCCTTAATTATGTAGTTAACCTCTCTGCTGCCTTTCAGAGTCAACCATTATCTTCACCTTTATTGTAATAATAAATCTTGCATTTGATATAGTGCTTTCATTGTCTCTCTACCCTGACACACTTCCATGGCTTTGGAACTTCTTCGTCTCTGAGAGCAGACTTGATGAACTGAATATCCTACTTCTGTAAATATCTATGATTCAACTCTTACCTGTCCCGACATCTTTTCTATCTCTTCTAACCATCTCTCGTTTCATACTCAGCCCAATGACTTCCCAGACGATTCCTAAGTTTCTGAAAGGGTAAATAAAGATAATACTATGGCAGTTGTGTATTTGGATTTGAAGGAATGGCTAAGTGTAGAGCCAAAGAATATTTTTCCAGTTGGCAGAAGGTAATTTGTAGTGTACTGCAAGGGTCTGTGCTGGAGCCTCTCCTTTTTTCTAAAAATGTTCATGATCCCTGTTAAGATACAGGGGATGTGCTATCAAAGTTTGCAGATGATACCGATCTCGGTGGGACAGTGAATAGTGAACAGGACGGAAAGAGATTGCAGGAGAATTTAAACAGATTAGGGCAGTTGGCATATCAGTAGCAGGTGAAGTTTATGAACCAAAATGTTAGGTAATTGATTTTTGGTAGGGAGTATAAAGTGAATGGTAGTATCCTGTAATGAACAGAAGAGCAAAGGGACTTGGGAGTAAAAGGTCCCCGTATCTAATCAATTATTGCACTTGATCAGGCATCCGTGTAACTGCTCCCTGTAGAAACCGGGGGACAGAATCCCGGCAGGGACACCACAGTGACAGGGGTGGGACTGGCCACGTATGTAATGTATGTGTTTGGGTTTATGTTTACGAGGTTTCCGGGCGTGTATTAGGGTAAATATGTGAGCGTACGGTGCTGCTACCTGAAAGCGGTAAGTGTGCCTTATCAGGCTGTGTAGTGCACACAGGGGCAGTTCCTGACTATCTTAAAGGGAGCATCCCCAAAAAATGGGTGCACAACCTTTGTGATGAGAACCTGTTTATACTCCCCTTTGATGAGGTATGATAGGGAATGGGAGGGTACAAGACCCCATTTGTAACTGCGCCCGGCAAAGGGCGGCAGGACCGCGGAGTGGGGAAGCCTTGGTCCCTCCACCAAAGTGGAGTGTGCTGAGGCCATCCCCCACCCTGCCACAAGGGGCCGGGTCCGTTCTGTAACGGGATAATAACAAGTTGGGTCTTTTTTTCTGTAACGGGTTTGATACTGTCTTGAGACAAGCATAAATATATATCAACAAATACATATTTGGTTTAAAAATACCTGACCAGGCAGCACTCACAACCAACACTGGGTGACTGCAATGGGAAACAACAGCAATACTTACATTTACATAGTGCCTTTCACAAGTGTAACATCTTGACTGCTTAAAAGAGATGACACCGAGCTGGAAAGAAGTGACTGAAGGCATAGTCGAAGAGGAAAGTCTTCAGATGTGCTTTGAAGTCCAGCAAAGAGGGTCAAGATTGTGGTAGGGAGTTCCAGAGATTGGGTGCATAGTGCAATACAATACAAAATTACATTTTTAAAGTGCCTTTCGCGTCAGGAGTACATCCCTAGGCACTGGTAGCTGAAAGCACAACTGCCAATGCCAAAGGGGGACTAAGGAATGTGCAGAAGACCCAAGCCAGCTGAGCAAAGGTAGTGGGTAGAGGAGAGGGGTGTGAGCAGATCAGAGAGGTGAGGAGGTGCCAGTACGTGAAGTGATTTGAAACTAAGAGTGACGATCTTGAAATCGATCCATTCTAAAACAGGGAGCCAGTGGAGCCTGGCAAGAACTAGGGTAATGGGGTGAGGTGCCAGGTACAGATGAAGACAAAGGAAGCAGAGTTTTGTATTATTTAGGCCTTTATATGGCGACCAGCGACGAACACATTGGAAAAGCCGAGGCAGGAGGTGACAAAAGCATGAATGAAGGTTTCAGCAGTCGGAACTACTCCACTCCTGAGCTTGAATATTCCTCATCCTAATGAGCAAAAAAAAGTAAGTTTTAAAAAAGGACCAAATAATCTTGCATGCATGAGGGAGAAGGAAATAGAGGGGTGTGGCAGA